TTTCATGCTTTAATTATAGATTGCCAAAGTAAAATATTTTATTTCATTCTTTAACTATAGATTGCCAAACTAAACTATTTGATTTCATGCTCTAACTATAGATTACCAAACTAAACTATTTTATTTGCTGAAATTTTGCATCGAATACAATTTTACTTAAATCCTGAAGAATCCATTACTTAAACTACTATTTGAAACACTTTCTCTACAAATATTTCCAACTTGGAATCTCCATGGCCTAATTTTTATTTAGACCCTTACAACATTACAATACTATCGCGTACATTACAAAATATTCCCTCTGCTCCTAATCCAGATATAATCCTAACCCACACCTAATCCTAATCAATTTTCGAAAGCTTCGAATCGTAACCATCGCAGCCTCGTCGTTATCGTCCGGTCTCATTCTCTGTATCCCCGCTAGAGAATTTTTGGCAGCATCCCGTTATACCGGGCGTTTAAAAAGTCGTATATCGCGCGACTTGTTTACGTTTTCCAGGGTTTATATCTGGCGGCCCCCTTCCTGCTCGTGATTTATGATTCATAAACGTATCCCACCGATTTCCACGAATATACGACAGATCCGAACGTTATTGCAACCCACCCCGGTTATATGTTCCGCGCAATCAGCGGATTAAATCGTTATCCGTGCCGTGGAGAATTCGAGATCTATTTTTCATTCACAAGAGATGCTGGATACCACGTGGGGGAAAGTGTACCACAGTCGATAGCCTCGAACCGTTTCAATATGGCCTCAATATTGCAAAACGTTTAAATAATATCTTCGCGCGTCTACCTGCGATTTCCAATCTCATCTGGCATAATTAAAAGTGTCGCAATTTCTGACCGGACTTCCGATGGTTGCACCGTAATCCCTCGTGAACCGTCGGAAATACTCCGGATATTATTACAAAAATTTCGTGAAACGTCGCAAAGATACGACTACGTATTCCGCTCTGTAAACGATTCCTGTAAAAGACTCTTAATACCCGAACAAACTTTTTACCTGCGAGAGACGTTCCATCTACGTGTTTCTTTCCACGAAAAATTCTTTCTTCCCGAGTGCACACGTACGCGATACGTTATTTTCGATTTATTTTCGAGCGACGAAAATACTATCGATCAGAGAGGCGTATTAAGCCGAACGCGTGCTAACTGGTCCCTGGCTATTCACGTGCGATACACCACTTATCTTAAAAGCTCGAAAGCGTTCTCTGTATCTGTAGCATTCTCTGATGGGTTCCATCTACGAACGAAAAAGATTACTCGCAAAAAGTGCTTGAAAATTCCAGCCGGACCGAAATAAAGGCTTTGTACGTACATGCACGCGAAACGGAGGATGCAAATCTCGGCGGAGAAAAAAAGAAAAAAAAAAAAAAAGAAAATAGATAATCCAAAACTGAAACTCTTTTCACCGAGCCAGAATTTAATATACGCACCAAGATTCAGGCATTTGTACACTCGATACCGTATAATTTAGGATCCGTGTCCAAATTCTATATTACCAAAATTATTTAAATAGAAATCGATCGACGCTCGCGGGAGTTGCATCGGGTCAGGGTTGGGTCCTCTCGACGCTTGACCGATGCTCGAAAGACGATTCGAACGACAACCGAGCATCCTCGTTGGCTGTGTACGAACCGCGCGTGGAATTCGAAATTCGGCGGACGAATACTGGAAACGTTAGTTCCACCCATAGCGTTTCCATTGTTCGCGCTGTAGATATTTGCGAGTAGCGGCGTTCAAATACCTCTCGCCGTTCGAGCTGTCGTCCAAGTAATCCGCGCGAGTTCTCCGAGCGCGCGACGCTTCCTTAGACAAAGACGAAACCAGTCGACGATTTGTCAATCGGCAATGTTATCGGCCGAGGGGCCAGAAGCGTCCTCGATCCGTGCTCCGATTGGAAACTTTCCTCGGTAGAAATTGTTCCACGGATAAGCAGTTTATTAGTTGTCCGTTACGCAAACAATTCACCTCGTCCGTTGCGCGTATCGCGCGCTCGATGCTCGACGCTCGGGTTCGATCGGAAATTACACCCGCCAAACAACGTCCGATCGCCGCGAAACTTCGCGAATAAAGGCTTCGTGTTTCGAGCGACAATGCGCGCGATGAGTTCGATCGCGGACGGTCAAAATTCAAATAAACATTCGACGCTAGCGTTTCCTGTTCCTATTCGTTTCGCAAAGGGTTATTTATGACGCGGATAAATTTGCTTAGACGACGGTCGATCGAACTCCAGGTAAAACGGAACGATCGGTCGATGCATTATCCCTCGAACGTCGAATGGCCTGTCAAATTTCGCACGCAATCCGGACATTGTTTACCGCACCGGTAGCATCTACGACGCGTTCTGCGAGCGCTTCATTATTTATGAGGTCGCTGAAACGCGCCGATCAACGCTCGTTCGAGATTGACGGGCATCGATCCCGACTATTCGCTGCTCGAAGAGCCTGGCTTGCCGTCTCGAACGTCGCGACGTTCTCCGTTCGATCCGAAAATCGCGTGAAAAACGTGCCGCGAGGCTGGACAAGGTTTCGTTAGCGCGTAGAAACGCGAACGGTGCCTCGTCGCAGTGGTATTCGCGCTGAAAAGTCGGACAGGCAGTTCGAAATTTAACGAATCTTCAAATTGCCACGTGGCTGTCGAGAATACTTCAGAACTGACGAAACAACCGTCATCTTAAAGCGGAAGATTTACTTTGTTAAGACTTGCAAGAACGCAAGAATTGTACGTTGATCGAGCTGATTGTACGTTGATCGAGCTGATTGTACGTTGATCGAGCTAATTGTACGTTGATCGAGCTAATTGTACGTTGTTTAACAACGGAGCCGTGCGAGATGCACGAGCGAAGAGATACGCAAGTGTGAACGTATAGAGAGAGCGGTAGAGAAGTAGCTCCGAACAGCTGATCACTTTAATAAACCGAACTATTATATACCGAACTATTATATACCGAACTATTATATACCGAACTATTATATACCGAACTATCTTGTTAAAACATTGAGAACTATGATCGCCGTTTCGCGAGATGGCTGACGTGGAAGTGCGTACCGCGGAAGCTTGCAACCTCGACCAAGTACGCGGCTTTATCGGTGCGTAAATGAATGAAACAATATCCGGTACGTCGCTCTTCGCATACTTCGCTACCTAGGTGACATTTTCGGTAACGACCTTTGTGCAGCTAATTGAAATTCTTCGGTCGATCGAAGTCCGCGTTGTTGGCGACGATGCGGCACTTATGGCGGGAACCTGGTTTAGAATTTCAAAATTATCGTTTTTTTCTTTTTTTTTGCATAAATCAGTAACAGTATTCATATAGAATATATTCCTGAAGTTATACAGCATGGAAACGCTATATTTTGTTTGCTTCCAGTGCAAAGAAAAAGTTAAATTTGAAGAATCCGGTAATCGCGGTTTCGGTTTTGAACTAAACGTTGTATGCCACTGTGGCCGCAAAGAAATGAATTCGGGACCGTTGATTAATACCGGATATGAAACAAATCGGAGAATCGTCTTCGTTATGAGGTTGTTAGGCAACAGCCGAGAAGGCATGAACATATTCAGTGGACTTATGGATACGGGTCGAGGTCTAAGCATAAGTAAATGCGATCTGATTGTGCGACATATACACGCAGCCACAAGTTCAGTGTTCAATGATTTATCCAAGAAAGCCGCTGAAGAAGAAAAACGAGAAAACATAAAACACGGAAGACCTTCTACAGAATTTAAAGTATCTGGCGATGGATCATGGAAGAAACGTGGGTTTACGTCATTATACGGTGTTGCAACAATTATTGGATACTACACTGGCGAAGTAATGGATTTCGTCGTAAAGAGTGGCTACTGTCAGGCTTGTACGTTTTGGAGTGATAAGAGAGATACCGACGAATACATTGAGTGGTATGAACAACACGAGGAAGAGTGTTTCGCAAACCACTATGGTTCATCGGGTGAAATGGAGGTCGATAGTATACAGGGAATGTTTTCAAGGTCGGAGGAGAAGTTTGGAGTCAAATATCGGAATTATATCGGAGACGGTGATTCCAAAACGTACAAAGGTATTTCAGATTGCAATCCATACGGCGATGATTACCCTGTAACAAAAAGTGAGTGCGTTGGACACGTGGAAAAACGGATGGGCACACGGCTCAGAAATTTAAAAAAAAAAAAGAAAACAGAAAAGCTTGGTGGAAAAGGAAAATTAACAGACATTTTAATTAAAAAGTTAACCACGTATTATGGACCAGCGATAAGACGAGATGTAGATTCCGTGACCGATATGAGAGAAGCCATAATGGCAACAATTACACCATCCGTGTTCCACAAATGAAAATCCAAATCATGACAATTGTCCAATCGGAGGTCAAGAAAAATTGTTCGACCATCCACCTCCACTTCACCCAGATGTCGCTAAACACATACGACCTATTTACGAAGAACTTTCGAAGGAAGATCTGCTAATTCGATTCGTTTAGGTGGCCATACCCAGAATTCGAACGAAAGTTTCAATTCTACAGTCTGGCGCCTAGCATCGAAACATTTAAATTCAGGCCTAAAAATGATCGAAATTGCCGCTTTCGTCGCCGCCAGCATTTTTAATGAAGTGTACTCGTCCATCCTTCGAATAATGAACGCACTACGAATAAATGTAGGACAACAAAGCAAATTTTTTGCCGATACGCACGACGCGCAACGAATCTCGAGGCAGGAGCGCCGCAGATCAAGCAGCACGAAGGAGGCTCGAAACAGCTTGCAGACTGGTTCAAATGCAACGAAACGAATTTCATGAGGAAGCGGAAGGCTTGCTGTATGGGCCTGGTATAGCAGACTAACCTCTGATTACAGTATGTTTTCAATAGCTATTGCTTTTCTGTATCGAAAACTTCAAACACGTTTTTCTCGAAAGCATGTTTCGGGGGTTTGTGTACACGATAGACAAAAATCTAGTTGACCGATCGGCTTTTACCAAGGATTTTTGGTTAGATAACGAATAATTGTCCTCTATGAACTAAGAACTTTGAATAAAGATCGAGTTAAGTAACTTTTTTTTCTACAAATAAGTCGAAATTTTGTCGCGAATATCAAATTTTTTCTTGAACGTCCTATAATTTGTACAATTTTATACTTTTGCATTCTTTTTTTTTTTTTTAGCTCATATAGGACAAAATTACATAACATCGAAGAGAAAATCAATTTACTTTGTTTCAGATAAGAATTGGATATGCTACATTGTACACAATCTGTTACTCTTCGCGGTGAAGTGCTTATGAAGATTATGTAAATACCAGGAATAAAAAGTACCGATTCCCGATACAACATTTTTATTTTATTCTTCGAACACGCAATAACACGCCCTTAAAGTTTAGCGAAGTTCCATTTTATCTTTGTTCCTGAAAAAAATTCTTAAAAACCACTTTATTCCACTACACTTTCAGCGTTCTAAACCAGCCTCCCCCCTTATCCAGCCTGCTGCGAAAAAGCTGCGAAAAACCGGCAGAAAATTAGAAGGCCACGGATGGATTAGAACCGGCGACGAATTAGAAGCACGGAAAGAATCGTAGAGCGAGGACGGACACGCGAAACCGTCAAACAAGATAAAAAAGAAGTACTCAGAATATCGCGTGGTCGTTCGTTGAATATAATCGTTGCAAGTATTCCGAATTTTCATTGGAACGCGAGTTAAAAAGACAGCACGAGCGATGAACAATTTCTCGTTCAACGCGAGATTGACTTGTACATCCGGATTGTACATCCGCACGTCTACGCCACGTCGCCCGTATGTGGGCGACAGTGTTCTTCGCCGAAGACGTAGAAAAATGAATTCCAACAGTGAAGAAGGAAAAGTTCGTTCAAAGTGAACGAATACGAACGAATTATTCGAAGAAAGTTAGAAAGATAAATACCACGATGATAAATACCACGATAGACGTTTGATTACGTAGTCTCTGATAGTCTGAAACTTCAAACACGTTTTTCTCGAAAGCATGTTTCGGTGGTTTGTGTACACGATAGACAAAAATCTAGTTGACCGATCGGCTTTTCCCAAGGATTTTTAGTTAAATAATGAATAATTGTCCTCTATGAACTAAGAACTTTGAATAAAGATCAAATTAAGTAATGTTTAATCGCATCAGAAATTTTCAAGAATATTTCTCTGACGGTGAACGCGTTAAAGGCCCGTTTCCGTTCGTTTCGCAGGTGTCCTGGATGCGCAAAAGGGACATGCACATTCTTAGCGCTGGCATCCTCATGTACACGTCGGATCTGAGGTTCCAAGTGATCCATCCGGACAAGTCGGAGCACTGGACTCTGCAAATCAAGTCGCCTCAGGAACGGGACTCGGGCGTGTACGAGTGCCAGGTCAGCACGGAGCCGAAGATGTCGCTGAACTACAGCCTGAACGTCGTCGGTGAGTGCGTTTTGAATTATTCAGCCCGGACGGATAAGTCGGGCTCGCCCGGCGTTCGCTTCCGTTTTCCGATGAAATCTCGCCGATCCGACGACCCGCCATTAAACAGAAACCGATTTTCTCGCGGTATCTCTCAGGGTTCACTGGTAATCGCGGATCACCGTGGATCCCGTGTTGGATATTTAGGACGCTTGAGTTCCACTTGTTGCGAACTTTTCGGTAGACGAATTCTACGCGAAATATCGATATATATTTTTCTGTGGTTTTTCTGTTCTGTGTTTTTCTGTGTTTGGTCGAATTCCCGGAAAAAAAACGGTGGAAGGATGAAGCCCGGCGCGGACCAGGTGCGTTCGTCTTTCGCGGTATCTCGCGAAACGAAACGGGCAGCGAGGAATAACTTGTTTCGTTATCGGGAACCGAAGTTAAGTCGCGCTATAAACAACCGAACTTCGTTCCTCGAAGGCTTCCATACCCGGTACAACCGTCTCCCTCGGTGAACTTAATATCTTCGCAGTTCGATAACTCCGCGACTCGTAACCTGATTATGATAAACTTTCGACCCCGCGCTCGTTAGTTTTAAATTAAAAGCAACGCTCGCGACAACGTGCGCCCGTCCTCGCGTCGACAAGTTTCTTGTAAATTGCACGCAGCGGCTGCAGCTTCTGGGAACGAGCGCGTCCAGACTGTACGAGTTGGAAAGGGACCGATAAAGCTGCGCAATTTCGAAACTCGCGGCGTAATGTACGAGGTACGACGATCGTTGTCTCGTTGGCGGAATAACGGGCGTGTACGGTTGCGTGATCGAACAAGAAACGAAGTAAAAGCCCGGCGAGCTCGGTCGATATCTCGATCCGCGCGTTACTTTTCGTTTTCGCGTTCGCGGTCGCAATTACCCTCGTTGTCGCTGATATTAGTCCGCTAATTCTGCTGGCCATAGTACCGGCGTTAACGGCTTAACGGCTAATGTATACGGTTCCTGTATTGCACCAAACCGCTCGCCAATCCCGTCGCGTGCTTGTCGCGACCACGTTGCACTCATGCGTGTATAATGTTCGAAGGATGCACTCGACAGCGTCGCGTTTCGCCACGGGTTCGCCTAGCGGACTTGTTTTCATTTCGCCCCCGTCGACGTCGTTGTTTCACCGATCCGATGTTAATTAGCATCGCCGAATCGCCAGAAACGTAAAGACTGTGGACTCATTCTCGATCAAGCATCCCGATCTCTCGGTTCCTGGTTCCTCGCTCGTCCTGTACTTCGTAGCCTTCCTCAGTTTCTGCGCTAAGAATCGGCTCTTCTTAGATTCGCTCGTCTTCCGAACGATGTGTAGCGATCGTCGGGTGTACAAGTATAAATTAACACAGGTTACGTAGAATACATTGATCCTAGGGCAAATTTGTTCGTGACTCGGGGTGGCGGTTGGTCGGTGATTTTCGTTGATAACTCAAAAGCGACACTTTCGCGAAGGAAATTGTCGTTCGGAATCGTCTTACCTATCCCTTTCCGATTTTTATAAAAATTCCAGGACACCCTGTGTATCAAAAGACGACATTTTAAAGCCTTCCTTTATCTTTGCCGGGCTTTATCCATCCACGCTTTAAGAATCCTGTATAAGAATTCCTAATCGAGTCCAACGACACCAAAAATGACACGTTTTCACATTCAGACGACTCCTGTTCGCACATTTCGCAACGATACGTGGCAGAAAGCGCGGGGCCACCTTGCCGAGATCTGAAAGTGTCACGGTTCGTAAGATATCAAGAATATTCTGGCAATAGAAACCGCACGAGCGTTGCTTTACTCTGCTGGGGTTTCCCTCGAATCCCATTCTGATATACCGGGATCAATATTACTTTTATGGAGCCGACGTTTGGTGGCTGAAGTGTGTCGTCGCGTCGGTGGAAAACCGACTACCTCCATATTGAAATTCCTCTGTGGCGGTGAAAACTGGAAACTATGTTTGGGTCGATATTTTGGAATTGATGGCCGCGCTTCGGCGGGGCGGGATTCATACGGGCGGCCGGGAGAAAAATAATTGAATGATTTCAGTGAAAATACAGGGAAATATAGGACGGAAATGTCCTCGATATTTCCGTGGGACGCGGGCGCGAAGCAACGTCTCGCTTCTAATAATAACTCGATCATTCCTTCTGCTATTTCGGCTCTCGAATTAATTAAAAGCGCCATCTCGCTGAAACTGCGCAGAGAACACCAACATTAACGAGGACCGAAAAAGCCTCGCTTATTAAAGCGGACCGGGAAAATAGTTGAGTAGATTCCAGGAACGTGTCACGGATGCTCCTAGGTATCTCTGAAACTTCCAGCTATGACGAACTTGCTCTCAATCCCTAATGGAGGCCTCCCGAACCCTCTCTTTTCGTTTACTAGCCCGCTTGGACATATTTTACATCGCCTAGCTTCTCACGGAATAATTGCATACTTCTGCGACACCTAACATACCCATATGCAGACATGTATGTTCTGGTATCGTTGTGTTTTCTTCTACTGGAGTCGTTACTTTATTGTGTTTAACAAGTTCGAGAGAAATTTATTAAAGTCGACGTAGATATTCGCGCGGAGACGGTTCGGACGATTGTACACTTTGAAAAGGAAAAGTAGCGAGTTTCATAGATTGGGAGAATGGAAAATGGAAAAAGATAGGGATTATCTTAGAGGTAACGAGGTCGAAATCCGGGGATGACCGGCGAGGATGAAATAATCAGCTTTAGAAGGAAGGATTTTCGAATGTTTGATGCCAGAGTTTGATTTCATATGTTTGACAAAGAATGAGAAGATAGTCTCGACTTAAACTAAAAATAGTAAGGAATCATGTTGCCATACAACATATTCCTTATAATAATCATCGTGTAGAAAATTGTCTGTCGCCGTATCGTTGATTTGGGTAAGGTTTGATTTCGAATGTTTGACAAAGAATGAGAATACAGACCTGTGTTAAACTAGAAATATTAAGGAATTATGTTGCCATACAAGATATTCCGTATAATAGTTATCTTGTAGAAAATTGTTTGTCGCTGTACCGTTGGTTTGGTTAGGTTTGATTTCGAATGTTTGACAAAGATTGAGAAGACAGTTCTGTCTTAAACTAGAAATAGTAAGGAATCATGTTGCCATACAAGATATTCCGTATAATAGTTATCTTGTAGAAAATTGTTTGTCGCTGTATCGTTGATTTGGGTAAGGTTTGATTACGAATGTTTGACAAAGAATGAGAAGACAGTCTCGCCTTAAACTAAAAATACTAAGGAATTATGTTGC